GTAGACCGAAGCTCCACCGCCCCTCTCTCTTCCTCTGTGATCGGAGGCACAGCCTCGTCGACCGCATGCGCCATCTTGATTACCTGAGGGAGTAGGCAGTAGAAAGATGGTAAGTTACGGTGCCTACCAGCATCTGCACCTGCATCACCCCCGCCTGCCCACTCGCATTGCCATCCACCAATGCAACTCTGCGGTCTCTTTCGAGGTGTTTCAACAGGACAGCTTCATCCGCTTCACTCAGGACCACCGATGGTTCTTCATCTCGTAGAGACTGCAACAGCACGGAGCGAAATGTTGACCTCGAATAGAGCGAGTCTATGGGCGACAGTCTTGCTCGTCCAAAATGTGCCGACGACACTGCCGAAGCAGCTTTCTGAGTTGATGTGAAAGAGGGCAGAGCGAACATCGAGACGCAGCAGTGAGCATCGGACGGGCAAGGAAGCACGTGTCCCGGCTGCTCATCAGTCCGACCCGATACTTGACGCATGGCTCACCTCGAGATTGCTCCACACCACCCACCTACCCCGCGCCTCGGTGAGATCCCTGGCGGAAGCATCGTTAGAGTCTTCCTCTGAGCGGAACTGTGAAGCAGCCCACTGAACGGGATATGTGACAGCACTGCCGACGAGCGAAGCGACATTTGATATGCTTGGAGTCTTGAGCGAGAATGTCCAGCGCCATTGTCCACCCGGGGATGATCTGGCAGGACCTAATATCTGTGTAGGGGATCGATTGAAGCTGGGTAGGGAAATGAGACGCTGTTGATTGGAGAGCTCGAGCTGCGACGAGTGAGGAACACATTATGAGCGTCTGATTTATCAGCATAGCATAGCACTCCACCGTCGTGGAATCCGCGCGGGCGCCCACAGGAACGAAAGGGGGTACTCACTACAGCTGTGCCCATGCCCAGTGGTCGTCCAACATCGTCCACTTCCCATTCCGCATCATCCTCGGGCTGAAGGTCGAAGATGAGCCTGTCCACATCCCCAGGTGCGCTGGTGGACGTTGCTAAAGCTGGCGTAGCTGCTTTTGAGCGCATCACATCCCTCGACTTTCCTTGCACTGAGCGCCGTACTGCGCCGTGCCAAGCTAAATCTTGTATAGTACTGCCCCACCAACTGACGTGATCGGCGTAGGCCAGAGGGTTGGATTGCTTAAGAGGCTCCAAATCGGAATAGTGAGCTGCAAGAGCACTGTTCGGTCCGCTCGTGTGGCTTGAACGAGAATTTGTCGCCTCTTTAAACTCTTCGAGGCTTAAGAGATAAGCTCGAAGAGATTTGCGCTCGCTATTCGCAGCGGACATGTTAGCAATCGTAGTTGATGGAAAAGAGAAAGGCGACTTCCAATCGACGTCCAGCTGTTCACCACGAGCAAGAGGTTGGCCTAGCCTAGCTGGCTGTATCTACGCCCCCTATCGCTATCCTGACGAAAGACTGAGCCAAGTGCGTGAGATGTTGTGAGGCAAGACAGCGGGAGCGATCGAGTGCGTTGATTGGTAAGGTGAGTGAGTGAATGCTGAACGATCTTGTTCCGCATCGAAATCAGGTATTGTGATTGAATCAATCAAGCATTTTTGAATTGAATGAATGTAAAGTGACACCAAAAGGAGCGCGTCGCATCACGTGTTGCCCGCCGCGAGAGATCCCAATTTGAGTCATTGAGTCAGCTCAGGAGGACTTTATTCGTAATTGAAGTACAGTAGTTCAAGAGTCATAACCCTCGAGCAAAACGGGTCAACGATAGGTGAGCCCTTGCACGGCGTGTGTGGATTGATGAAGCATAGAAAGCAGTCTTGAGTGCGGATAAGCTCCTCGTATGAGGACTGTGCGATCCTAAATCACGTGAATAGCTGTCAGGAGTCTCGGTCAGACATGATGCTTGATTTGAGGAGCCAACTTTCGCGCCATCAGGGGCGGGCGCGCGAATGCGCAGCAACACAGCCACGCGCAGCGCCACTCCACAGTCTCCACGCTGCGAGTGGAAACAATTTCAACAGCGGGGCGGGGCGTGCGTGGCAGTGCGCGTTTCTCTTCTTCACCGTGCACATCACCTCCAGCACCGACGTCCAGCAAAGTAGAGGCTGCGAACAATTCAAGACTCCAACAAGCTGCACACCTCGCCACCACCATGGGAGTCACGAGAAAGTCGGAAGCACCGAACGAGGCGGAGCTGCCTTTGCTCGCGTCGGAGCAAGTGGAGAAGCATTCTCACGCGGACAAGAAGTCCAAAAGAGGCGGGTCCCGATGGTTGACAACGTCAACAAGAAGAGTCGCATGCGCTCTAGCATCACTGGCTTGTGTGGCTCTGGTGTATCTTTGCGCAGCAAGAACTGATCAGCTGCGCCTCGGACTCTACGACACTGACCGACTGAATGCGAGTGGCGAAGAGGCTGCTCTGAAGTTGCTAAAGGGTGGGAGGTTGCAACATACCGAGGGATCAGCACGAAATCAAGCAAGCGAAAGAATCTTTTTTGGAATCGGCAAGGCAGACATCACAGGTGAACAGAGGCGTGATTTGAGATCCAGAAATCTCGAACTCACGGCTGCACTTCTCACCTTTTCCCGCAGGGCCCATCGTCGAGACAAACATGATGGGGTATGCTTCCTCGTCGCAGACCAACACGGGCCTAGCATACAGGCAGTACTCTCGAGCATTTGTGCTAGGGAATTTCGGTGACGATGACAGCGTCGCGTTTCAGACCGGATCGGTATACACCACCACGCACGATCTGCTGCGACGTGTGCGAAGGGCGCTATTCGCTTGGGGCCTTTTCTCTCATCCGAGTGCGGGCGAGCAGGATCCAAACGATGGAAAGAAGCAGCGATGGGTGATTGTGAACTCGGACCTGTGCATGGGAGATACGGGCATCAGACGAGCTGTCGTCGAGAAGCTTAGGGAGGTCTTACCAGATGTCTATGGGGAAAGAAACTTTGCCTGGACTGGGACGCACAGGTGAGCTGAATCTGCTTGTCACGCAATCTCGCTAGCTGACGCCCCGTCTCATCAGTCACTCTGGTGCTGGAGGATTTATCAATGCGCTCATCGTACAGACCTCCTCGCTGGGCATCGTCCAACAAAATTTCGATGCCATCGTCGAAGGCACCGTTCGTTCCATCCTGCTCGCTCACGACGACTACGAGAAGCGCGTCGCGCGGACCATGGTCTTGTCTCGAGACCTCGTGTCCGCAAATACGCAGCCCTTGGACACGTCGGCCTGGCCTTCGATTCGATTTGGCAATACAACGCTACGCAATGCGCACATAAATCGTAGTGCTAGTGCATACCTTCGAAATCCGCTCGAGGAGCGTCAGCTGTACGACAGCGACACCGACGATGAATTTGCTTTGCTGGAATTTGTCGATGCGTCCGCAAAAGAAGCGCCAGGAAACACCGGCTTGCTCTCAGTCTACGCTGTGCACGGCACGTCCCTCTACGAAAACAACACGCTGACGTCCGGGGACAATAAGGGCCTCGCAGCTCTGCAGCTGGAACTTGACCCTACGCTTGCCTCGCGCCAAGGCAGTTTCATCGCTGGCATTGCGCAAGGAAGCGTGGGCGACACTACACCGAACACTGGAGGTGCATACTGCGATGCAACCGGCGAGCTGTGCGATTTCGAAAGGTCTACCTGTCCGAACAAGAGGGGCAAGGAGAGAAGCCAAACTTGTAGAGGTAGGCCGCCTACTTGGGGAGACTTGGATCTCCTCAACGAGAGCATGACCGGTGGTTGGGATTGGAGTGGGAATCAAGTCGTTGCCGGACTGCAACGAGACTCTGCGATGCAGGTTCTTGGATTGCACAGCTCTCACGATGACGGCCGGCAGATACGTTCGCACGCCGAAGCGAAGTCTTTGGAACTCAAAGACAATCCTATAAGCGGAGAAGTCAGGTCTGTCAAATGGAATGTAGCCCTCGGTGGTGCCGACGGCTTTAGCTTTGTCTTACCAAATGGGACGCGGGTCAGGACCTGCCCGGCAGCGCTTGGCTATGGTTTTGCTGGCGGTACGACGGATGGGTGGGTCGCACAAAAAGTGGCGCGCTATGAAACCTGCTCACCTCTACATGCATCTTGTCCTCAGGCCCGGTCCATTCGACTTTACACAAGGCACCAACGACACGACGCCCACGAACCCTCTTTGGGCCGCCATAAGAACGCTGGTGATGCGTCCTGGCAAGGAACAGGTTGCTTGCCAAAGTCCCAAGCGCATCCTTCTGAATATCGGAGAGCAGGTGAGCTGGTACGAAGGATGACGTCGTTGTCATGCGCAAGGCATCTTACAAAACCATTTCACGTCACCTCACATAGCACGCACCCTACGACTGGGGACCTAGCGCCGGCATCGTCGAGACGCAAATCCTTCGCGCGGGCAGAGTCTTCATTCTTGTCGTGCCGGGCGAATTCACCACGATGGCCGGCAGGCGTATCAAGGACCGTGTGCGCGACAGCATACGCGTCCTGGGCATCGAGGACGAACCCATCGTTCTGCTGACCGGTCCAGCCAACACTTACGGTCACTGTAAGTCTACACAAGGGCGATGTCGGCACATGGATAGATGTACTGACATGCTCTCCCATTGCAGATGTGACGACCATCGAAGAGTATGCGGCGCAAAGATACGAAGGCGGCTCGACGCTGTTTGGGCCACACACGCTAGAGGTGGGTAGTGTCGATGTGCTCTAGTGATTGCGACCGCGCCTGCGCTGACCACCACCACCCGAGCTCGCTTAGGCTTATATCCATATCTACGCCAACGTCTTGGTGCCTGCTCTCACTAACGACGATGCTGCGGGCATGATCCCGCCCGGAGAACTTGCACCGAGCAACATTGGACGAGCATTCAAGATGGGGGAGAAGCGGGTGGTCTACGATGCTGTGAGTAGCATGGTCGGAGGGGGCAAGAGCAAGCTCGCATGTGCTAAAGAGACGATTCGCTCTCAGGCACCTTTTGGCAAAAGCATTGGAGATGTGACTGTTCAGCCAGAAGCGCAGTACGAGCTATCCTCTCGTCCATCTATCACTGCTCGATTTGCAGGAGCCAATCCGCGCAACGACTTGCGCACAGAAGGCACCTTTCTCGAGGTCCAACAGCAGCTGGGCGCATCGTGGAGGACACACCGCACAGACGCGCACCCATCGACGATCTTCAGGTGGAGAAGAACGAACAGCGTGAGGGGCAGCAGCTCGGTGGAAATCGTGTGGAAGCCCGATCAGACGGATGCTCTGGGCGTCTATCGTCTCGTATATCGCGGAAACGCCAAGCAACCGTTTACGGGCAAGATTCGAGAAGTGGAAGGCATCACGGATGAATTCAGACTCGTCTGAGCGTCAGATTTTATGCGTGGACATTTCAGGTCTAGTCTCGGTCACTGCTCTCACGACCCCAGCGAACCTAGTCAGCTTCAATGTAGCATGTACATACTTGCACTCAACAAACTGATGAATTGTCATGAACGCAAGGCTCGGGTGATCAAGCGCCGGATCGCATATGAGCATATTGATTCAACAGCAAGGCATTCCTAATACGTAAGCGTTGGTCTTTCTACAGTCACTGTTCCGCAAAGCGTAATTTAGAGAGTCGAGGGTCGACGGGTGCGGTGGATACACTTGGTGCTGACGCCACTTGCGAGTCCAGTGCGGGTGTGCCGATGGTCAAAGCAACGTCCGCAACGCCTTGAGTCAGTGCCGCTTTTGAACGTGATACGAACTCGGCCGTCCGTGCGAGCAAGTCGAGCGATGCGAGCTCGGTCTGCACGGCAGCTTTCTCTGCGCCGAGGTGGGCGATACTCTCTTGAGCTTTTTGAGTTGCTGGATAAAGGTGATCGCCCGAAACGCGCCTGGAATCGCTGTCCAGCGCCTCCAAAGATAGCTCGGTCATAAGACCAGGAGACGTGGCGCCATCGACCTTGCCACGAGGAGAGTGAGATCTGGATGCAGAAGATAGGCCAGGAATGCGAAAAGCTGTCGGTGCGTGCGCTTTGCCTGTAGTCCCATTCTCGTGCGGCTGGTTAGCACCTAGATGCAAGCCTGCTTGGTGACCTGTCGAGCTTGTTCGCCAGAATGGAGTGCGTCGAGCGTTGCCCTCGCCATGTGCGGCGCTCGAGGTGGTCGTAGCGCTGCCGTCGCCCGCAGGACCAAAGGGTGGGCTTTGCTCAGGGCTGGGCGAAGAGCTACCATTGACGGCGGTACCGGCAGCATCGCGACCAGTCTTGCCGAGCTGCGATCGTTTGAGCAGATTCCAGCGCGGCCCTTTGGCTCCCGTGGCCATGCCAGGAGCAGAAATCACCGAGGTGAGGTGAGAAAAGCCAGGCGCGACCCCGGCAGAGGCATCTCCCGGCTGTTGAAGCGGCTCGCCGCGGCCCTGCTGCGCATCCAGAGCAGACATGGAAAGTGTCATGCTGTCTGGCGTATCCACGGAATGGTCGCTGTGTTCCGCGACGGATGACTGTCTGCTCAACGCTGGAGTACTTGCTGCGCTCATGTGACTCGACGCCGGTTCTGCGTTCTTTGTGCGTTGCGCAGCCTCCGGGAGACCCTGACGCAAGCCAGGCGAGGTTGGCTGCGCCATATTTTCGGGAGCGTTCGCATTGATCTGCGATTTGGTGAGCTCGGATTGAGCTTGTCTTAGAGCGGCCTCCAACTGCGCCACTTTTGTGCTGCAAGCTTTCCACGCTCCCTCGATCCCATCGGACCAACCAGATGCACAAGCCGAGGCCCAAGTCTCTCCGCTGGCAAACCCGCCAAGAGCTTTCGAATAGTCGGTCCAAGATAGGCCAAAGAGCTCGGGCGGCGATGGTATCCGCGGGATCGCCTCGTCGTTCACGCCTCGTTGTCCATTGTCAAACACGGATGAGCGAGGCATGCGAGCATACACTAGATGCAGGAGCAGCAGCGGCGGAATCGCCTTCAACGCTCGGCAGACTTCAGCAGGCGCAGTCGAGGCGCTCGTGGGTGTGGAAATGCCGCTCGAAGTGGATGGCTGAGCCTCTCCTGCTTGGCAACTTCGCGCCGTGCGCAGGACGTTGAGCACCGCGAGAGGATGGCTGTCGAGGTGAGCAGCCACAACAGCACAGGACCTGATGGCCTGCAGCGCTTCTGCCAGAGCCGCTCGGGCGAGCTCATCCGCATCCGAGTCGTCGCCCTCGCTATCAGCGTCGTCGTCCTCGAGAGCGACGATATCGGCTTTGGGCGCGCTGGTTGGTGGCAACCTCGGCCCTGGCGCGGTCGGCGCGAAGCCCTGCGCGTAGCCTTGCATGCATCGCTCGAATGCGACAAAGTCGGCTGCTTGCAGGGCGGATGCGCGTGCGCACACAGTCTGTGGAGGTGCCAGCGGACTGCCAGCTCCTTGCTCGTAAAGTGATTTCGAGGCGTGGGGAGGCGAGCTTGCTGGCTTCAGCGGTGGAGATTCGTGCGCCGCATCGAGCATCGCAGCAGGAGTTGCGCGTCCAGAGGAAGCGACCGCATCTTCACGTTTCCTACCCCGGGCAACACCAGCAACCACCTTCAGAGCTGACGTTAATTGCGCGGGAGTGGGATTGCGCGTCTTGCTGGCGTCATCGACGCTCGGCCTGCTGCACGAAGGATCCACAAGAGATGCAGGCGGAGGCATGGGCCTTGCCGTGAGGCGAAGCAAGCCTTTCCAGATCGTCTGGACAGCCAGGCTCACGTACCATCCTTCGCCATCCAGACCGCATCGCGCCTCTAGCCGGGGCAGGAGCAAGCGTCGAGCGCCTTCCATGCGACCCTCAAAGTCCTTTGCCCATATCGGGCCTTGCGCCGATCCACCCTTTGCTGGAGCTGGAGAGTGAATGGTGGTGGTCGATGTGGCTGCACCTACTCCAACGCTCAGGTACGACGCTGTGCGGTCAAATGGCGTTGGCACCGCTTGGGCGATGGAGCCGATGAGACCGATTTTGAGATTGGCCAGTAGAGGATTGACAATGTGCAGAATGGATCTCTCCATGCGCTGGCGTACAGGGGCAAGAATCTCGGCAACAAATGCCGGCAGTGGATCGAAGCTGAGCACATGGGTCGCACCTGCGCGATCATCGCCCTCGACGCAGCGTTCGAGGCCATCTTCGACGATCCAGAGCAGAGCGACGAGACCAAGATTGTACTCCATGGCTGCTGGCGGCTGGGCTCCGTCTTTTGCGTTGAGAGGTACAAAGGATGCACCGACGTCTCTTGCAGCCGAGACTAGGAGCGCATCCATGCGATCGACGAACAGACTGAGCGCTTTGAGTGCTGCGCGACTGACGGCTCGCAACAAGTAGTCGTCGATGCCAGCGGCGTAGCGAAGCTCAGAAGTGACCAATTTGGCCAGCTCTTGAACGCGTGCGGCGAGGGGAAGCAGTCGACGATCATATGTGACGGCAGATAGCGGCGGTGCCAACGGGGCGCCACGAGTTGATCCCGCGACGGCGCCAACAGCAGCGCTCAAACTTGCAGCTGGCGGCGATGTCGTGGCAATGGGCTGAAACGCCTTGTTGACCAGCTCGCTCAGACGAAGACTGAACTGAGCAATGTGACCAGGATCCGGATTGCCGACAGCGGCTACTGATCCGTTTGGAGGAGCTTGATGCGCGCTCAAAAACCCATTCGATTGCGCAGAAGAGGCGGGGGGCGTTCTGAGACCGTCGCTTGCATTGCTGCCATGTCCCGAACGGCGAGCAAATGCTGGCAATTGCACCGAGTCCGTCGCTTTGCTGAGGCCTGCGAGTGCGCTCAAGCCTAGACCACGACCAAACGAGCTCGAGCGCTTGGGCTGTCGACCAGTCAGATCCGGCTCGTCAGCATCCACAGCGCCACGTGAAAGCGACTGACTACGTGATGGCGTGTTGGTGCCAGACGGAGCAGGGGAAACGGGCGGGCTTGTACGATGGTCTGTGGGCAAAACGCTGCCGTGGATGTCGTTGGATGATCGACCACGCAGATGGAGGGCGGTCTTGAGAGCCATGATGGAAGAGCTGCTGCTCGTCGGGCGAATGGTGGGCAGGGGAGAACAAAGTACGAGCACTTGGTCAAGCGGCCCGAGTCTTGCTGACGGCGCCTAGGGCTGCAGACAGACTTCTCCGGGCCACGTGAGGAGGTGCAGACGCAAGGCTCGGTGAAGGCGAACCATGCAGAGCAGCCAAGGGTCTATCAGGTGGCAGAGAAGAGCAAGCCTACGCACAGACGTACCAATGTCAAGGGCACGCCTGACGAGACTTGACGCCGGGCTTTTGATTGAGCAACCTTAGGGAGGTCTGTCGCTGCTGTCGAGAAAGAGAATCAGCTGGCCGACAAGCTGGCCAGAGCGGGCGGCAGCCAGAGACGCCGCGTTGTGGTTGGAGAAGCGCGAGTAGGCACTACAACTAGGATCGACCATCAGTTGGATAGCAAGTCGCTGTGGGATAGTTGATGGGGCTGTATGCGGTGATGCCAAGGCAGTGCGCCAAGAATGAGGTCTCGATGGATACAATTAGATATGAGGTTCGTGGTACGGAAGTTGCCGTGGAAGATGCAGGCTGAGTGAAGCGATTCGCGGCTACAGCCAGGGCTCTGATTTCAAATGTCCTCTTGCGCAGAGGGGTTTCGATTGTCCACGCTGTGCGCCTCGATCTACTACTGTGACTACTACTGTACCTACAGCTGCTGCTGCTGGTGCTCTTGCCCAGCAAGCGCGCCGCCGCTTCGTAGAAAAAGCGCACGCTCGCGCCCGCCGGATTGGCTTGCGCCCACGACGTGCATCGCACAACACGACGATAGCCACGTGCGCGCCGGCGTGCGCTCTGCTTCACATGCAGTCATAGAGCCATGCGTGGATTGTGACTCAAACTTTGATTCAGGTGAATAATGGCTTGTTTCAAATTGTTGC